CGCATGAGAATCTTAGTAATCTGCAAAAAGCACGCTTTTAGGTACAAAAACGACCCAAAATGTCAGATATGAGCGATGAAATGTTGAGTGATGAGGAGTCAGCTGAGATGTATCGTCAAGAATTTGGTGAAGGCGAACATGAACTTATGTTCGAGCGACTTATCGATGGACCTCATGAGGAGCAGCTGGATAAGGATCGTGATGAAACGTTGGAAAATATGGTAGCGCTGAGTTAAGATCGCTGAAATTTTTTTTTGTGATACCCATATTTGAGGCGGAGACCAGAGCTATACGACAGATTTCGCGGGGTCTTCCTACTGTGAAGAAATTGACCATCAAGAATTTTCGAAGTCAGATAGACTATTTTTATGCTTTTTGAACAGAACTTACACTTATTCCTTTCAGGGAAAAACGACGACGTAGCAGATTTAATGACGACAGGATGGATTTCGTTGGAGGGTAGCATAAATGCCATACAAAAGAAACAGCATATTACTATCAGTCTGGAACAGTTATACAAGGTATGTTTCTTTCAAAACTATTCCTCACTTCACTTATCTTGTAATGGTTGTGATGTTACATCAACGACCTTGTGTTATGAATTCCAGGTAGTAGAATCACTATGTGAAAATAAAATGGCGAGAACAACGTACGACAAATTGCTTGAGAATGTTAGAAAATGGATTCGAGGGTTTAGGTAAGAAACTATTAGAAATATGTCTTGAAAGGTAATATTCATGTGAAACTTTATCTCTTTTTTTTTATTGCACTTATAATGGTTTTCTCCTGTTGTTTTTTCGCCAACGGGGATTCTTTTTAATCATACAATGCACTTTTCAGGAGTGATCTGAGCGAGAAAAGTAGTGCAGGAGGAGTGGAATTCATGAAAGCAGTAGAGACTCTATGGAGTGATTATTGCCAACAGATGGTAATCATAGCGCTGAACTTCCTTTCTGAAGCAATTATTGTTTTAGTTAGCTCAATTACAGATCCTTATACGCAACGTGTTTTTGTATCTTGATAGGACGTTCATTCTTGAGAATATCGATGAATCTCCGATTTGGTAGCCTATAATTTTTTTTCCATCTTACGTAGTTCCATCCGACAGTGTTCTAGGGAGTCGTCATTGGTGATTTTCCGTGAGGAAATTGTGACATACGGATGTGTGCTCAAGAAACTAGTAGATGGGATTTTAGAGTGCATAGCTGAAGAAAGAGCGGGAGATCAGGTATTTGTTTAGCTGCATATCATAATTATATTATTCTCGTTATCTTCTTTACATCTTAGGTTGATCGATCACTTCTTCGGGCTTTATTGCGCATGCTACGAACTCTTGATCTATATAAGCAAGTAAGTTCAGCAATAAGTCCATTTTGCCAGGGAATGAATGTATATATTCCTTTTTCAGTCGTTTGAAGAAGAGTTTCTAACTAACACGACAACACATTATACTCATGAGAGTATGTCATTGGTGCGCACACTTGAGGTAAGTAATAGTTTGAATTGAAAGATTTCTGAAATCTGGATTTAATTTGTTGAATTACAGACTGCCGAATTTTTACTGTATATCGAGCGAAGGTTAAAAGAAGAAAACGAAAGAGTTGACTTTTACTTGGATGAAAGTACAAGGGCACCTTTGTTAACAAGAGCCGAAAAATGCATGATCAGTGATCACATGCAAGACGTCGTCGATAATGGTAATAGTAATGTTAAGCGCTGGTGTATTCGCAATACTTGTGGCTATTTCTCTAGGTCTTGCAACGTTATTGACCGATAATCGTGTGCAAGACGTTACGAGGCTGTACTTACTTTTAAGTAGAGTTGAAGGAGGAGTTCCCCTGCTCAAAACAGGATTTTCTTCATATATTAAGGTAAGCTCTCTATAGACATTTACCCAGTGGTACGATCCAGTCCGAATGTTCTCCATCTCTTTTGAGACTTAAGTGAACGGTTTTTTAGAGAGTTGGTAAAGCAATGATCATGGATCCGCAACATGATCCAACCATGGTAGAGGATCTAATGACCTTTAAGGATAAACTTGACGTCTTTGGTGAGAAATTTGCGGCACAGACTACATTATTCTCAGTTATTTCTCCTTCTCTTAATTAATAAAAAGATGAAAAGTGTGGTAATTCAATTTCATTTTTGAAGGAATAAACTTTCACGACGCTGAGTAATTTAGAAACTACTAAACCCAAATAAAATTGATTTTTTTTCAAGCGAGTAAAATGAATGCATTCAGTGGATACATGCTTTGGCACTGAGGAGGAGAGAATGAAGTTCGCTCAAGCCGAAAAGGATGCTTTCGACTACTTCATCAATACGCGGGGTAACAAACCTGCTGAATTGATTGGTAGGGGGTCCGAAGTTAAAGAAATGTAAAAGTTAACTTAGGTAAACGTTTTAGCCAAATTTATGGATGCGAGACTGCGTAGTGCTAATAAAGAGGCATCCGATGAGCAGCTGGATCAGCTTATGAACAAAGTGATAACCCTCTTTCGATTTATCCAAGGTTTGCGAGGTTTTTTTTCACGTTGCCAGAGGGTTAAAGACTTTCTCACCCTTTCCTTTTACATTATAGTTCACAATTTAGTGCGCAAGGATTTGTATTTAGGAAAAGACGTTTTTGAAGTATTCTACAAGAAAGATCTGGCAAAACGGCTACTTCTTGGTAGAAGTGCGTCTGTGGATGCTGAGAAGATCATGCTCAGCAAATTGAGGCAGGGTGCGTTGTTAGGTTTTGTATTTCTAGCATCTTTTCTATTGTCAGGTGTCTACGCGCAAAATATAGTCAATATTTTTGGTTAATGTTGCCTCTTTAGAGTGTGGTGCTGGCTTTACTCAAAAATTGGAGGGTATGTTCAAGGATATGGAGTTGTCGAAAGATCTAGGTGTGGCTTTCAGAAATGTAAGTTGATTTTATATCATAGCTCAAAATCTTCCAATATCTTCTCGTTATGTTTTTCAAGTACTGCATACACGAGACCTCGTTGGGACGACTTGGTGAGATTGTAGAGTGTAACGTCAACGTTCTTACTATGGGACAGTGGCCAGCTTACGAGACTGTGCAGGTTAGGAACTAATTCTTGTTAGTGGTGGTTTCTACCCCAAAAATTATTGTATAGCTTTTCTAAGAGGTCCATATTGCTACCGAGTATTATTAACAAAACATTGATTGACTGAAGGTTATCTGCGGTTTTTTAGGTTACCTTGCCGAAACAACTAAACGCTTGTTTACAACTGTATGAGAAGTTCTATGACTCGCGGCATACGGGTCGCAAGCTTCAGTGGCAACCTCGTCTTGGGCAATGTGTTCTCAAAGCAAATTTCCGACCTGGGGTAAAATAGATAATTTGTAGGAATGTGAAGTCTAAACTAAGATGTCATTTTTCAGTGCGATAAAGAGTTAAAAGTATCATTATTCCAAGCGATAGTTCTGCTTTTGTTCAACAACCAACCATCTTGGACAGCTGCTGATATCATGATGGCTACCAAATTAGGTAAGAAGTTTTATCATGCCCAATCCATTCACATTTTTAGACACTGATTCATCCTTTAAACCATCTCATGAAATTGGTTCTAGAACATAAAGAATTCGTTCGTACCATGGTCTCTCTGTCATGCGCCAAAGTTCGTGTTTTACATAAAATGCCAATGAATAAAGAGGTTAGTTATCTTTTTATTCCGATTTTCAATCCTCTTCCGCTCATTTTTTGCCCTATTATCCATTAATTGTGGTTGATAGTGTGCAGCCTTACATCTGCTATGAATTCTGATATCTAGATCAATGATAACGATGTGTTCACGGTCAACACGGATATGAAAGAAATGCGCTTCCGCATTCGTATCTCTGAAGTACAGATAAAGGAGACGGTATTTTTGAAGAAATATATTAATATACATTATTTTTTCAATAGAAATCGCAGGGTTATTGCAGGAAGAGGAGTACAAAGCAGTAGAAGAAGAGGTTAATCAAGATCGACAATACCAGATCGATGCAGCAATTGTACGCGTAATGAAGACGCGTAAAAAGCTCAATCATCAACTGCTGATCTCAGAGTTATTTGCACAACTTAGGTAGGTTGCAGTAGTGATCCTATTTGTATATGTTGAGTGGCTCCAGGTTTCCGCCTGAATTTCCAAGATTCAGATTCCCGGTTCGCGCAGCAGATTTGAAGAAACGAATAGGCTCGCTCATGGAAAGAGATTATTTACGGAGATGTGAAGAAGATCCAAATGCGTATCAATACGTAGCTTAGTAATGTATAATATTATATATTTGCTTGTACAAATGTAGTAGTTTGTTGTTGGAAAATAAATGCAAAAGCGTGAACATTGTTTGTAACTTATAAGGGATTTTTCCAAGGACTTTTCAATATAATTTAATTGATCTAACTTATTTGACGTGAGGTTTAAGTGGAGTAAGACTTTAGATGTCAGCTGGAGTTAGCCCTGTCTTAAATTCTGCTGTTCGGCGGTATCTGTTGTGGATAAGGTAAAGTGCTTTTGTGGTTCTCGAGAAGTTATGAAATCTTCTTTTAAGCTATGATGGCTCACGATTTCCAGAAATGGCTAGCGGCGGTACAGGCTTTGGTGTAGTTGATATGTTATATCAGGTTAGCATAAGATTGGTTTTTTCTCACGAAGACATCAGTCTAAGGCACACATCAATATAGAGATTTGGTCATACAGTGGTTTGACTAGTTGATCACACCATCACTATACCATATCTCTACTTGAAACTATACAAGCACACTATGTGATTATTTTTTCCCAATATATAACGTGGGAACTTATCCTGCCATAGCCAATCGTATATTTTCCTGCCTGTGTTCATAGTCCTTCTTTTTTACTCTTTCATTTTGTTCAAATGTTTCAATGTTTTGAGAGAAAATTGGACTATGTGCCAAAGATTTCACTGTAAATTCAAAATTATAGACTGATCTGTGAGACTTCATATTTCTCAAATGCTAAGGATTTTAGACAATCTCTGAGTCATTGTTTGGAGCAAGACCTAACAGCAATCCTCTGCACGACTCCCTGAAACTTTCGCCTAGTAGCAGGTTCTTATCTCCATAAGATTTTCTTGATATTCCATTATAAAACATAGTAGTTCCTCCAAATATAAGTGCTTTGCCTATTCCCAACCCTTATGACCATGCACAGAACAGATGCCGGTGTACATGCGCTGAGAAATGCTCTAATTTGTCAAGTTCCTTTGGAGTTAGCAACTCTCGATGCCACAATTGAGAATAAGAACTCATGCTTAAGGAAATGGAACAGGACCATTGATATGTTTGCTCCTGGTATGACAAATTTTGCTTGTTTCCTACTTCCGATTGCATATATACATACTGTAGGTGCGATGAAGGTAAATGACCTACATAGCGTTTCAGCGGGATTTTGTGTTAGAAGACATGTTGCTTACAGGTATGGTAAGCTAAAAATCTTTACTTCGCTTTATCTTGATCATTGTTATCTTGCTAACGGTTGGATTACTCTTGAGTCGTTCAGGAAGTATACTTATCGGTTAGCTGTGATACGGGACTGGGGTTTATGGGAGTCAGTGCAGGAACATCCCTCTACAGCTTGCTTTTCGGAAAAGGATTACGCCTGGCGACTTCCTCCTGGCTTTTCTCCTGAAAAAGCGTCTGACGCATGCAAACTCTTCATAGGTGAGTGCTCTCGAATGAGGGGTCTTGAGTGTAAAAACGAAAATAGCTTTTAGCAACTCTGTTTTCCTTTGTTTTAGCAAAGGATGTAGTCTATAACCACACCGTTTTTAGCATAAATGTGATGTGTAAAAGTTCTAGGAGAGCATGTGATGGGCTCATTCTACAAGCATACTGCTCGAGAAAAACGTAGAGAATTGCATTCACCTAGCGCTGTCAGAAATATCCTCCTCTGTCAACTTTCCAGAGGTGGGCTTTGTTAGTCTTAGTCTGATTTTGCAT